TTTCGCTAAAACCTAGTGTGTGTGGTGTGTGAATTGGCTCATTTGTATGGGCTGTACCTCTCAGTCGATGACTGAATGGTTACTCAGTCTCTGAAGGGTGAGGGCCTAGGCTAAGTGGGGGGCTTTTCCCTCACCCTCCTGAGATTTAGGGATTGTGTGCGTGTACAATGCCACGCTTCAACAAACTATAGTCCCCGCGGCCCGGCTTATGCGCTTGCGTTCCAACTGGGTTTACAGGCCGTGTACATGGTTGCCCGGTTAATTGTATCCTATCTTTCGGATCCTGAGGAGTGAATATAGGTTAGTGGCACCTAGCGAAGTTGCGGGTGTCGGTGGCTGTCACGCCCTCATCTGTGTAGTCTCAAGGGCCACTCGGCTATTCGCTCTTACGAAACTGGCCATTCTGAGCCTAGTGACCTCGGCCGAATCAGCCACCTGCGTCCTCCCTCATCTCCGACCTTGTCGACTTTGTCTTAACACCGGGTACAGATGCGGGAAAAGGGAAAGAGTCAGATGGATCTTGCGTGAATCTACTCCCACCATAATATATTGCCAGTCACCGCGTTTGCCTTCAGCTTGCTGACACTCGTGGTGGACATCGTCGAAATGGGCGATTGAACTGTCGTATTTCGCCCGAGCGCGAAAAACTCGAGGAAATAAAATCATGGTTCGAACCTCCGACCAGCTCTTGTACTACTAGTCCCGCCTGAATTTCTCAATAGTATACAATTTATTCTTCTTCCTTCATTTGCTTGAAAGTACTCCTCGTGCTTTTATTGCAAGAGGACTCTATTCTTTCCATTTTGTTTTCTGCGATAATTAAATCCTTTGCGCCTGGACCGCAAAGTAGTTTGAGCTTATGTTGTTTCACGGAAATCCAAGATCATTCTTTAGTGAAATAGATCGCTCTCAAGTCTCATAATCGTCTCTGGCCGTTTAGGCGGGATCGAAAAGTTTTGCCATGCAGAAAGTACTATAATTCGAAGAACCTGTCCACTGGAGCGGTTTCTCCTTTCTGCTGGTCATCTTTCTTTTGAGCGCCGGTATTGCGTTTACTTCCACTTTTTAACATTTAACAGAAGTCCCTTAACCACCTGGCTTTTAGTGGGCGCGTTCAGTAGGCATCGTGTTTGATATGACTTTGGAGCTGACCCTGCCCCAGCTTTCCGGTCTGCGGTTATTGATTGGCTCTGTTACCCAAGACATTTAGTTGAAGAGAGTTCAGCATCTAGACCAATGTTTGCTCGCGGACAGACGCGGTCGTCTGTCAGTTGAGATTAGATCTGTTTCTA